CCCAAACCACTCCCAAACCAAGAACTATCCAAACCGTGATAAAAGCTGGGATGAATCTGTAAATGCTGAAAATCTAAAACTACGGTGATTTTACTTAGCCCTGGAGGGCTGCAGAGGATAAAAGAAAAGAATGAATCTCAAAGACTTATGACTAGAAAAAAACCAGTTAAATTTTTTTCAGTTTGCCATGCATATCTGAAGGGCAATATAGTAGGCAAAGTCTCTGAGAGACAGTTTTCTCCTCTAACTCTGTAAGGTCCTTGAGGGCAAAAACCCGGTCATATATCTCTTTGTATTTCTCATCAACTATTTCCCTAATGCCCACAAACAAGCCCATGTCTACCTCACTCTCAAAAAACTCTTACTGGATTCATTCATTCTTGGTAGAGCTCATTCTATAGTTCTCTTCCCTTTCCTGGCTAAAATCTTTGGGAAGGCCTCTATAACTGGTGCCTTCTACTTCCTTTCCTCTCATTCCCTACTGAATTCTGCAGTCTGATTTCCTATCTCATTGTTCCACTGAAACTGTTATCTCTTAATTACCAAATCTAATGAATGGTTTCTTCACCTCTCTGCAGCCTGTGGCATTGTTAATTATCCTCCGTAGATCACTTTGTAACTCCAAACACTGTTCTTTGACATCACATCAACCTCCAATCCCTCTACCCCTCAGCTCTTTTCCAGGCCATCAGCTCTACAATGGCTAGTCTCTCTTCCTTTTCCATCTTGACTCCTTGGTAAATAAGTTCAACTCCACACTGCCTTCTTTCCACAAGTTCCTTGCCCCTCTATCTGATCAAAGATTTGCCCTGTCAAACCCCAGCGTTGGATTACTCCCACCATTCTCTGCCTTCACTCCCACTCACGTGCTTCTGGAAAAAGCTGGAGAAAATCCCAAGTAGCGTTGACTGGGCCCACTACAAATTTATGTTACACAATTTCAGCTGGACCTAAGGCAGTCTTTTTACATCTCCCTAATCAATTTGCTGTCCCATTCCAGTATAACTGATCAATATATCAAAAAAAAAAATCTGAAAATTTGTATAATGTGCAACACTTGTAGTCCTTCTGAATCTGCAAAGAGGTGGAGTGGAAGTGATTTTTCCTGTCTCTTTTAAGACATACTTATTCTTCATAATTTTGCAACATTGACTTTTATAGTTGTTCTTTCCATTCTCATTGTTGTAATTGTTACATTTATATATGTATATTTTATTCTCTTCTTTCTGCTTCTTTTATTCTACATCAGTTCATATAGCTCTTTCCATGTTTCTCTGTCATCACATTTGTCATTTCTTACAAGGCAGTAATATACCATGATACTCTACTCATTGCTATTTGTTCTGCCTTCTGAACCCAAGATAATCCCTCTTCATGTGAAAACTCTTCAGATATTTGGCAAGAATTATCATGTCTTCCCTGTGTCTTCTCTTTCTGCTTTATCATGCTGTTGTTGATCCATTTAGCTTGTAGGCCGTTAGAAATACCCTATCTTTTTCAGATGAGCTACTTTTTATGTGTACCTTCTACATTTTATGCTTTTGGAATTCTTGAATCTATGTGATTTTACTTTTATCCGTGTTAGATTTCATCTTATTAGATTCATCCAGGTGTTCAAATATTTTTGGATCCTGTTTCTATTCTGTTAGCTGTCCCTCCTAGATTTGTGTCATCTAAAAGTTTGATAAACATGCCACCAATATATTCTTCTAATCTACCAGATTAATAGCCCTCTTAATACTAGGTGAAGTCAACTGGAAAAAATGTAGATGGGTCTTTGTAAGTATTGCTTTAATTAGTCAGCTGCAATTCTTTAAAGTGCTCCTTTTGTGCCAATCACTTCTGTGTGCTGGGATTTGGGAGTACAAAGACAAAAATGAAATGGCTCCTACCCTCAAGAGTCTACATTCTATTGGGAGAGAGAACATATATGTATACAAGTATGTACAAAAGAGACACTAAATAAGTACAAGGTAATTTGTGTGTGGAGTTGGAGTAAATGCTAGCAGTTGGAAGAGGTCATACCTCTTGTATAATGTTGCTATTGAGCCGAGCTTTGACAAAAACTGAGGATTCTGAGAGGCAGTGGTGAAGAAGTGCATTGCAGGCATGGAGAACAGAGTATCAGTGCATAGCCATGTAGACTGGAGTTGGACTATCATGTGTGAGGAACCACAAGAGTTCAAAGTCAAGTCAACAAGTATTTATTACTCTTTCTGCCAGACATTGTGGTAAGAATCGCTAGTAAGACTATTTAATAGCTGAAGAGGAATAATTTATAATAAGGCTGTAAAGGTAGGTTGGAGCCAGATTGAGTTTATATTTTATACTAGAAGTAATTGAAAGAAGATGGCAGCTCTATGAGTAGACCTCCATGGAGAGATTGGAGAGATCTTTGTTAGAATTGACAAGATTTAGCAGCTGATTGAATATGAGGGATAAAGGAAAGTGAAGAGTTGAGTATGAAAAAGTGGCTGTGAACCTGGATGACTTGAAAGGATGGTAGTGCCCTCAACAGAAAAGGGAAAGTTCAGAAGTAGAATGCGTTTGTGGATAGGGAAAAATAATGAGTTTGGTTTTGTACTTGTTGAGTTGGAGACATACAGTCCAAGAAGCAGTTAGTGATAGGGGATTGGAGTTCAGGAGAGAGACTAAAGCTGGCTGGCTTTATAATCTGGGAGTCATCTTCATGGTGATATTACTTAAAGCCTTGCGAGCTGATGAGGTCTCCAAGAAGAGAGTGTAGAGAAAGAAGAGGAGATGTCAGGACAAAACCTTGGGAGTATATTTGTAGCTAAGAGGTGTAATGTGATGATGATCCAGCAGCAGCGCATGAGAACAGGCCAGATAGGTAGGATGAACATCAAGAGAAAGCAGGTTCATGAAAACCCAGAAAGGAGACAGTTCTAGGAGAGATTGGTCAGCTGTGTCAGATGCTGAAAAGAGGTCAAGAATAAGGATGAGAAAAGGTCATCAGACTTGGTGATTGAGACTTCATTATTAATTTCGGAGGGAGTAGTTTCAGTTGAGTGAGGTCAAAGAACTGAGAAGTGAATGAGACAAGAAGTAGAGACAGTAGTTAGCTTTTTTAGAGTTTGACATGTGGTGTGATGAAGGGACAGTTGGTTTTTGTTTTTGTTTTTTTTTTTAGGAAGGGGGATATGAGTATATGTGGCAGCAGGAGGCAATGAATGAGCTGTTGATACTTTCTTCTAGATTTTCACGAATTATTCCTTTAATTATATATTCTTGAATTTTTCCATTAATTGAATGCAAGCTTAATGGCTGATAGTTTGCAGATTCCAACACTATTCCCTTTTTTGAAAATAGGGATATTTGTTCTTCTCTGATCCTGTGGCACCTCCTTCATTATCCACAGTTCTCACAGAGCTTGCTCACCTGATAGTGTCAGCAGTCGCATCTGCCCATTCTTCCAGAACCTGAGGATGCCATTCATCTGAGCCTGTTGACTCTAACTGGGTGTTCTTTTACTCTCTCCGTATGTATCTGGGGTATCAACTCCCCATTAGCCATTTTCTCCTTAGTCTTTCCAAGAAAAGTTGAGATCTCTATCTTTAGATAACATCATCCTGTCTAGCAACTGTTAAATTTTTTTTTTGTCCTTCAGTGTCTCTTCTCTCCCTACCCTCCCAACCACCCAAATCCCTTTTGTTTTCCTTACCTTCCATTCAGTTCAACATTTATTTAAGTATCCGCCACTGTTCAAAGCATAGTGCTAAGTGCTAGGTATACAAAGACAAAACCAAAATAGTTCCCACCCTTAAGAAGCTTATGTTTTGCTAGGGAGGGGTGGGGGTGGAGATTCAACATGCACACACACATGTATTACAAATTAACTTCCGGCAGGGTTGAATGCCAGCAATTGTGAGGGCCATTGGCAAAGTCTATAAATAGCTCTGGCACGCCAGATCTGAGTGTTGCATGAGGCTAGGGATTCACTGAGGCAGAAGTGAGGAAGGAGTGTATTCCAGGCATGGAGGACAGCTTGTGAAAATTCACAGAGACAGGAGGTGGATGCTGAGGTTAGGGAACAGCTTGAACGTTGGCCAGTTTGGCCAGAATATAGAGTATGTGAAGGGGAGTAACATGAAATAAATCTGGATAAATAGATGGGAGCCACATTGTGGAGAGATTTAAACATCAGGCTAAGTTTTGGTTTTATTTCTTTTTTTCTTTTGTTTTTGTTTTCTCTTGGTTATTTGTTTCTTGAAGAGGTTTTTTCTTTGGGGGACAATAGGGAGCCAAGAATGTTTGGAGCAAAGGAGTAATGAGGTCAGATGTCAAACATCTTTATACTTAGAAGGCATATACAGAGTAGATCTAAAGTAATCTTACAAGGCAAGAGATGTGAAGTGTTTAAACTAAGTTATTAGTAGTTACATGAGTAGAAGGAAGGGGTCAGATGTCAGATGTGTGAAGATAGGATTGCTGAGACTTTAAACTTGAGACGTAACAGCCCTTTGAATATGGGGCATTAGGGAAAGGAAAGAGTCAAAAACTTGTTTGCAAACCTGGGTTACTGGAAGGATGGTGGCATGATGCCCTCAGTAGTAACACAAACATTTAGAGAAGAGATTCAGTTTGGAGGTTGCTATTGCCAAAAAATGAAAAATCCCACAGTCACCCTGATCAAGAGCTTCCTTCAGCTGCTTCAGCTCATTTCAAGCTTTGTGTCAGTGCTTACTCAGATCATCAAAATGTTAAAATCAGACATAGTGGACATAGTTATTTTAAAGGCAGAATGGAACATATTTTCAGAGATCTGTGATTTTCAGATATTTTCAGAACTTCTTCAGAACCCAGACAGCAGCCCAGTGATGGCTGATATCCTATAAACTTTAGCCCTAGCACATAGACTCAGAATTTTAGAGAGTTGGAAAAGGACCTTATTGATTATTGAAATGAAACTAAAAGTGAAGTTTTAGTGTCTGTCCTTGAACTAACTTCTTTTTTTCTTTCTTTTTCTCTGTTTTCTACAGTGAACACCTACCTCTTCATGATGCAAGCGCAAGGTATCCTGATCCGAGACAACATGAGAACAATAGGTGCTCAGATGTATGAGCAGGTGGTTCGGAGTGCATATGCCAGGAGGAATAGCAGTGTAAATGACTCAGGTACATTTTCAGTAAGAAGCTCATGTGATTAGAAATTCTCTTCCTAGCAAAGGTAAATTTGGTTTAAATAATTAACCTTTGTAGGAAAAAGGCATAGGTTGAAGAGGAGGGTTTGGAAGAACTTATAATAAAAGTGGCTCTTGAAGGGAGCTTGTGATTTGCCTGTAGTGCTAGATAGTCCCATAGGCATTATCCCATTTCCAGGGATATAAGGGGTGTCTTTAAGACCATCACAAGGATGGCTTCCTAAGCATGGAGGGGCTCTTGATGCCTGTAGGTGACTCATTGAACATATATCCTGAAATGTTCTTCTTTCTCTTTTCTGTGCCTCTTGCAATCTCTAACACACTTTTAGGCCTCAACTCAAGTGCAGCCTCCAACACAGGCCTGTCCTGATATCCTCAGTTGTTAGGTATCCCCCCCCCCCCCCCCCAATTACTTGGTTTTTTCTTTAGATCTGTTTTGTATTACTTCTCTATATACAAGTTGTCCTTCTTTTTCCCAATAGAATGTAAGTTCCTTGAAGGTAGAAATTGGTTTGTTTTTTTTTTTTTTTTTGTCTTTGTATTTCCAACAGCTAGCTCAGTAGCGTGTGTGTGTGTGTGTGTGTGTGTGTGTGTGTGTGTGTGTGTGTCTATGTGTAGGGGGTGAGGAATGAGAAGAAGAGAGACAGTGTATTTAATCAGCGCTCGTGGTAGCTAAATGGCACAGTGGATAGAGTGCCAGGCCTGGAGTCAGGAAGACTCATCTTTCTTTCTTTTTTTTTTTTTAAATAGGCAATTGGGGTTAAGTGACTTGCCCAGGGTCACACAGCTAGTGTGAAGTGTTTGGTCTGAGGCTGGATTTGAACTCAGGTCCTCCTGACTTCAGGGCTGGTGCTCTATCCACTGTGCCACCTAGCTGCCCCCAAGACTCATCTTTCTGAGTTCAAATCTGGCCTCAGAGACTTACTCGCTGTGCGATCCTAGGCAAGTCACTTAACCCTGTTTGCCTCAGTTTCCTCGTTTGTAAAAAATGAGCTAGAGAAGAAAATGGCAAACCACTCCAGTATTTCTGCCAAGAAAACCCCAAATGGGGTCACAAAGAGTCAGACAGGACTGGAAAACAACTGAACAACAAATAAATGCTTGTTGAATTGAATGTTCACTCTAGACAGTCTGTTTACCCTTATACCCATGAAGGTTGCAACTGAGCTTCTTGGCAGTTTCTACTAATGATAGCCTTGTAATATTGAGACAATCCTAAATCAGTATCCTAAATACTTCTTGGGGAGAAACCTTATATCTGGAGTCTACATTCCCCCCTTACATGTGGGATTTCCCCCAATGATTCAGGTTCAGTTAATCAAAACAATCCTTTTCTAATACTTTGCTGAGATTGGTACTTCTTAGTCACCTTCTTGAAAAGCTTTTTCTGACTTTCTAGCCAAACAACTGTGTCCAACATTTCTATCTCATACCTTAAAATCTTTGTGTTGTTCATTCTCTTAGAAGTACTTCAGAAACTAATGCAAAGAGACATTAAATGACATGCCCAATATTAGTCATTTGGACATTAGTCATGCCCAAAATAAGTCAGTGATGAAACCTAGGAGGCTTGTCTTCCAGATTTCTTATATAGTAAATATAGTGAAACGGGCTATTTTCTCAGGGAATATTATAAACTGAAGTGTGTGGACATGGTGCAGTGGTGAATGATTATCTAGAGCATTTACAGGGCAGACGCATGTTATTTCCAGATATCCTTGTCACCACCAAATGGAGGAGACTAGGGGCAAAGACACCAGCAGTGTAAGGGATGAATCTAGAGTTACTGGGAGCCGAAATATGTACCGCTTAACATAATGCAATGTTGGGCACATTATAGGTGCTCAGTAAATAGATGTTCATTTATTGAATTGGTCTGAAGTTCTAGGAACAGCATAAACAACAACAATAACAACAACAAAAACCCATGAGCTAGAAATAGGAACCATTGAACAGTAAAACTCCATTCAGGCTGGACACATTGCTCACTGAGTCTGAGGTGTCTCTTCTGTGGCCTTTGACTGTGGGTAAAGTGTGGAGCGTGGAAAGAATGCTGCTCTTGTGGATTGTCCCCATTGTCATTCCTACTCTTTGTCTCTCTAATCTTTAATCTTTCCCTACGTACTGGCTTCCTTCTCTGCTACCTACATATATATCCCCATCCTCAAAAATTTCACTGTTGTTACCTTCCCTGCTAGCTGTTGTACTACATCTCTCCTTTCCTGTTCTGCCAGACTCCGTAAAAAAGTCATCTCTACTTAGTGTCCTCCACTTTATTTCTTCTCACCCTTTTTGAAGACCTCCTTATTCTAGCTTCCAGTCTCATCATTCAACTGAAATTGCTCCTTCCAAAATTATTTATATCTTTGGTGGTGATAGTGGGTTTTTTTGGAGGCAGTTGTGGTTAAGTAACTTGCCCAGGGTCACACAGCTGGTAAGTGTCTGAGGCCAGATTTGAACTCATGTCCTCCTGACTCCTGGTGCATCATCCACTGAGCCACCTAGGTGCCTCAGTGGTACCTTAATTGTTAATCTAATGGCATTTTCCCAGTCCTCATGCTTTTTGACCTCTCTTCCTATGACATTTGATTCTCTTGATTACCTTCCCTTTTTAGATACTTTCTCCTTTCTGGGTTTTTGTGATGATGCTTTCTTTTCCAACTTGTTTTGACTTTTTTTTCCTCGTTCACCTTTATCCTTATATCTCACCCTAAGGATCCCCCAAAGCCCTGTCACAGCCTCTTTTTTCTTTTTCTTGTTCCATATACTATCTCCCTCAATGATCTCATGGGTTCAATTAACATCTTCATGCCAGTGATTCTCAGATTTATATAGCCAGTCCTACTCTCCCTTCTGAGCATATCCAGTTGCCTACTAGACATCTGAACTGGATATCATGTCAGTATTTCAAACTTACCATGTCCAAAACAGTCCTTATTGTCTTTCCCTTACAACTTTCCCCTCTTTCAAACTTCTGTACCACCACCATCCTCCTAATCTCCCAGGTTTACAGTTTGTGTCCTCCTTGACACTTCTCTTTCACTTGCCCTCAGTTGCAAAATCTTCTCATTTATACTTTTCTAATATCTTGTTACTGTATACATCTTCTCTCCACTCAGATAGCCACTACCTCCTGCCTCAGACAGCCTTTATCATTTTCTCCCTGGACTATTACAATAGCCTTATAAATGGTCTCCCTCTCCAAGTTTCTTCATTCCAATCTATCCCTCATGCATAGGTTTAATCATGTCACTCCCTTGCTCTATAAACTTTAGTGGCTCCCTAATATCTTTGGAATCAGATATAAAGTCACTGCTGTAAGACTTTGCACAACTGGCCCCTTCCTACCTTTCCAGTCTTCTAGCACTCTACTATCCTTCATTTCTCCTATAGTCTAGCAGTCTTTCTGTAATAACACATCTCTGATGTGTCTTTGTTCTCCATGACTTTTGTACTGGCCATACCCCGTGCCTACAGTGCTCTCTCTCTTTGTCTCTGCCTCTTGATACTACCAAGTTCTTTCAGGTTTCAGTTCAGTGGTCCCTATAGAAGGGTCCCCTAGCCACTAGAGCCTTCCTCTGTAAGGTTACCTTTCTTCTACTCTGTATGTGTCATATATGTATTTATTTACGTATTGTCTCCTCCTGTTAGCACCTTCTTGAGGTGAGGGACTGTTTTTGTGCTTTTTGCTTTCTTTGTATCCTCAACACTTGGCACAGTACCTGGCATCTAGTAGAGCTTGAATAAATACTTGTCTATTAATTGATTAGTTCGTGTCCTAGCTCTACCCTTAGTAGCTGTATAACTTCCTTAACATCCTCTTCTGTAAAATGGGGATGATAATCCTTGCCTTGTTTCCTTCAAAGAATGTCAGAAGGTTCAGAAAGGAAATAGTGATGCCAAAGTGCTCTGAGCAATGTTAAAGTGCCATAGAATATAAGAGATTACTAGGAATAGGAAACATTAATAAAGGAAACATCTAGTTTTTTTCTCATGGCAATCTTAAGTGAAAGGACCTCTTATTGGTGTGACCTATGTGGAATCACCTGTCGTTTGGGGGAAAAAAACCACCAAATATTATCCAACTAAAAGTTGGGTTTCTTATTCTTCACAAGCATCAAGAATGTTGGTTTCAAAAGTGTATCCATTTACTAAGCACTCTTACCAAGAAAAAAATGAGTCATATTAACTTACCCACCATTCTTGGGGTTGGGAATATAGGGTGAATAAAATCAGTGAATTAGGGTTCAGTGAATTCAACTTGCCCTGAAAGCAAATAAGCAAATGAGTTATTGAGGACTTGAGAGTGCGCTCGCTCGTGCTCGCTCTCTCTCTCTCTGTCTCTGTCTCTCTCTCTCTCTCTCACACACACACACACACACACACACACAATTTTTCTTTTCATCATGTAGTTGAAATAATAATGTAGCCAATAATAATAGCATTTATGTAGTGGTTTAAGATTTGTAAAGTGTTGTGCATGTTTTCTAATTTAAGAAATTCGAAGTTATTTAGAAGTCGGAATCTGATAATCTTACAAGATTTGAGGAGAATAGGGGTGGGGTGGGGTGTGGTGGCGCAGTTGGATATATTTAAAATAATAAATCAAAGTTCTAGGCTCTACTGAAACCTGTGCAGGTGATTAAGAAAATACTTCTTCATTAAGCACTCTTAAAAGATAATCTGCAAGTCCAGGCTGTCACACAAAATGAAAATAAGGAGGCAACTGAAGACATTTAACCTAACTACTTATACATACATATAGGATGTGGGAAAGCCCTAGTTCTGAAAGTTGAGCCTTTTGTTTTTAAATGCTCTGAGTAACCTATTATTACTACAATTTTCCTGGTTTACTATTTAGAGATCCTGATATGAAAGGTACCTTTTCATCCCAAATTTTTGAAAACCAACATTAGGGGTCTCTTTGTTTAGAAAACTTAAATAGACCTTTTTAAATATTTCCTTGCCAAACGT